TTTAACCCCTAAACGAAAATATTTTCTTTAAATTAATTGGCATATAGATGTTAGGCGCATTTGCATTAATAGAATTTAGTGAAAACATATTTTCCTCTTATTTTATTTCATTTCATTTTTATTTTGTGTTAAAAAAATCATTATTTTTTTTTAAAAAAAAAAGAAGAAGAAAAGACAAAAAAGAGAAGAAAAAAAAAAGAAAGTAAAAAGGGAGCTCTTCCCCATGGACAGAGGCTCTGCCTCTTTGACTTACAAAAAAATAAGAAAAGGGGGAAAGGACACAAAAGAAAGGGGTCTGCGTGTTTTCCTGAAGAAGAAAAAGAAAAGCTGAGGAGAAGAGACAAAAACGGAGGGGAGCTCTCTTCTCCCCCTTGGGGACTAGATCCGGAGAGAAAAAAAGCGGAGAGAACGAGAGAGCAAAGCGGAGAGAACGAGAGGGGAAAAGAGGAGAGAACTTGAAGAGCTTCCGGAGAGAATAGACTGGAGGGGGAGCCAAAACCGAGAGAGAATCGAGGGAGCCAAGAACGCAGAGAGAGTTAGAAGAAGAAGAAAAAAACGGAGACCGACTGAGAGTTGAGGGGAATCGGAGAGATCCGACTCTCACCCACTCGCCGGAACGTCGCCTGAGCCACCGCCGAGGCCCCAGTTGTCGCGCCTCTCTTCGGTCAACCCCGAACCAGGTGGGTTTTGCATCCTTTTCTTCCCCTGTTTTTGTCCCCCTTCCCCTGCCTCTGGGGTGCCGGGCGCACCGAGCCTATTCGGTGGTCGCCCGGCCCCGTCGAAGGAAGCTAACTCGTTTTTGACACTCAATGAACCTTTTCCAAACATCACATGTAAAAAAAAAAGACTACGAATCGTGTCGAGTTTAGGCATTCAGCTCCCTTTTCAAGTTGCCTAACACCTGTTTGCCAAAATGCTTCAACGAAGTTCTTTGAGTTTATGACCCCGAGTTTGATCTTGCGTTTTCGGGTCGTTTTTGTGCAAACTGAGACCTTATTGTGGCAAAAAACAGTTGTATGGGTCTTCTCACTTCACGTTTGAGTTGAAAACCGCATCAAATCTCACTCTAGAACATTTTTATGAACTCGCACATCACATGTTCGACGAAATGCCTAAATGGAGGTCCGAGTTATTTTTTGCGAATCAGTGCTTGAAACTCGATTTTTATGCTTGATTGGTTCCCATATTGGTCGAATGGTGTCTGACTTCGTGTTTTCTCTGTGGTTTCTTTCGGTTTTGTGGCATATCTTGCATCGTTTGAGTCGGCCATGGACGTGACCTTCGCCGGAGCTCCATTCTCCTTTGCCCAGTGACACCTGTGGCTCGAAGCCGCCACTGTCAGTTCGCTCTTTTCCATGTCGTGTATGCTTGGTTGTTTGGGTTTTACGTTTTCTTGTGGCCGAAAGTTTGGGGATCGGAGAATGAATCTTGGTTGCCGGTGTCGTTCGGCGGCCAGAGTTAGCCGAAGGTCTGGCGGATGGGGGGGTCGATGGTGAGAGCGTGAGCCCAGTGTAGGTAGTCGGCGTTGGCGGCCCGCGTCGTCGGTCGGAGGCCCAAAAGCGTTCTTGGTGAGGTCTCGGTTGAAGAATAGGAGTTCTCGGTGAAGAACAGTAGGAAGCAGGGAAGCTTTCTGGGCAGGAAGGTCACGCGCAGGAGGGGATGAAGAAGAAAGAAGAATAATAAAAAAGGAAAAAAGAAACAAAAGAAAAAGAAAGAAAAAGAAAAAAGGAAAACCGAAAGAAAAGAATAAAAAATAGAAAGGAGCAGGGAACGGGGACCCCGGGTCATGTGTCGGGCGGATCGGGTCAGGGGACCCGGTCCGGAATTATTATATTAAAACATTAAAAAATGCTAAATAATTCAAAAATTCAAAAAAAATATTAAAATATTAAAAATTCCAAAAAATTCGAAAATGTTTAAAAACCCAAAAAAATATTAAAAGTCTGAAAAACATTAAAAAAATCAGAAAATTAAAAAATATTAAAAAATTCAAAAAAATTCAAAAAAAAAAAAATCAGAAAATTAGGAGATGTTCGGAAATCGGTTTGGGCTTAATTTCACTAGATTTTAGGTTAAAAACTCAAAACAAAAAAATGAAAAAATGAGAAAAACCCTCTAAAAATTCCCAAAAATCGGATAAGCCATGAGGGCTTTACTTTAGGGCTTTTGATTGCCTTTTCTTTTTTTAGAGACGATGCTAGGTCACTTGTTGCTTGTTTTCCTTGTGATTATTTGGTTGCGCGCCTTTAATTTATTGGTTGGTATTTTCTATTTTTAGCATGGTTAGACGGAATTTTAGCTTTTTCGATAGGCTGTCTAGTACGTTAATTTGCAAGTAATCAAGTTTAGGTACCGAAAGGGCACTAGTAGATCGCTAGTGTAATCAAGTCTCCGTACCCATTGAATCTCTGGTTCGTAGAAGTGAAGCATTCCTCTCGTGTTTCATTTGGGTGTCTAATCGGCCTACCAAAATCGATTAGTGGCGACTCCTAGATAAAATTGATTTGCATGTTAACAACTTAAACTTAAGTCGCGAATTGGTATGGGCTTGGGAGAGCTCGAGCTAGGTTTAACTTAGTAATCCATTAGCCAAACCACCTTAGGCGGCGGGGCCGGTTCGGGGAGGTCGCGACATTATGCTGTAAATTTGGAAACTCATTTATCTGCTTTCCAACGTATTTGTCCTTTTTACTTGACTGATAGAATACGTACATTGCAGCTACCTCTCCAATTGGTGGGCTTCCTTCCATGAAATGAAGTGTTCGGCCATGATTGCACTGCAACGTAACGGCGCGGTTATCCGAGAAGGATAAAGGGATAATGACACAAACAGTCTCTGAACTTTGGCTTAATGTGCAATTTGGTCCCTGAACTTTTAATTTGTTCAATGTAGTTCCTGAACTTTAACTCAATGTTCAATGCGGTCCTTGAACTTTCAATTTGTTCAACTTGATCCCTGAACTTTTAGTAAATGTTCAATTTAGTCCCTAAAATATATGAAAATATACAATATAGTCCCTGAACTTGAATTAATGGAAGGACTACATTGAACATTTTTATAAAGTTCAGGGACTATATTGAACATGTACCAAAAGTTCAGGGACCATATTGAACAAATTGAAAGTTCAGGGACCATATTGAACATTGGGTTAAAGTTCAAGGACTATATTGAACAAATTAAAAGTTCAGGGACCAAATTGCACATTGAGTCAAAGTTCAGGGACTGTTTGTGTCATTTTCCCAAGGATAAATAACACAAATGATTCCTGATCGAATATGTAATGTGGTCCTTAAATTTCAAATTTGTTTAATGTGATCTTTAAACTTTAGTCCAATGCATAATATTGTCCCTGAAGTTTTAATTTATTCAATGTGGTCTATAAACTATTGATATATGTCTAATTTAGTCCCTGGACTCAATAAACATTTTCAAGCAGTCTAGGACTAGATTGAACATATACCAAATATTTAGGGATCATATTGAATAAATAAATAGTTTATGAACGAATTACACATTGGGCTAAAGTTCAGAGATTATATTGAACAAATTTAAAGTTCAATGACCATATTGCACATTGAACCAAAGTTGATGGACCATTTGTATTATTATAAAAAAAAATTCTTTTTGGAATTCGACCAAAAAAAAAACTCTCAATTTTCAAATGGCCAGCAACTTCATTCGGTTTTTTTTTTATGATTAAGTTAAAAACAAAAACGCAAAGGAAAGGTTGGCTTCAGAAGGTTCTAGAGTCTCACTACAAAAAAACATGATTTTTGCGACGATTTTTGCGACGAAAAATTTGGAAAAATCCGTCGCAAATCGAATTTGCGACGGACAAAAATTCGTCGCAAATTTGCGACGGACAAAAATTCGTCGCAAAATTCGTTGCAAATTTGCGACGGACAAAAATTCGTCGCAAATAATTCGTCGCAAAATTCGTCGCAAATTAGCCACGAACACTATCCATCGCAAAATTCGTCGCAAATTTCGTCGCGAAATTCGTCGCAAAATTCGTCGCAAAATTCATCGCAAATAATTCGTCGCAAATAATGTAGTCGCAAAATTCGTCGCAAATATCGACGCAAATTTCGTCACAAATTTAGTCGCACATTTCGTCGCTAATTATCCGTCGCAAAATTCGTCGCTAATTATTCGTCGCAAAATTTGTCGCTAATTTGCAAAAAAAAATAATTTGGTCAGTAATTTACGACGAACTTATTTGTGGCAAAATACGTCGCTAATTTGCCATAAAAAAATTTTACTTTTGCCATTAACATTATTCATGATCGAATTTAGCGACAATTTTTTATTAATTCTTTAGCGACGAACTCCCCTACGAATATCGTTTAGCGACGAAATTTTATTTTTGCATTGAACTTTTGTAATTTGTGATCGTACGATAAAATCATTTATTTTATTTTTCGATTTTAAACCTAATTAAAAGCAAAATTAATTTTTGAAATTTATATTTAACATTGATTAAGCACTTAATAACATCAAAATATTATAATAATATGAAAATGAAATACATTCATCTACATTTTCCACAAGAATGATAAAAATAAAGAACCAAACTGAAAGGTGCATTCTTCCTCTTCAAGACAGACTTTCTCAATTGAGGAACTATCCAACCAAAAGGCGTTATCAGCCTTGTTATCAGAAAAAAGTTCACAGAATATGTTCTTGGCTCCACCAAGTCTAGCAGCCAAACCTTCTAACTTTCTCCATGTCAAGCCAGTTCAAGATTGGTTCCGATTTAGACGCAGAAGAAACTAGGAATACAAGTTTTGATGAAATACGATTCATCATCAGAGAAGAGTTTTCCCTAATCCATTTCATGTGTTCAAGGGCAAGTCTCACCTCGTCCGCATCATTTAAGTATTTCAGGAAAGTGACAAGGGAGTCTAAATTGCCCAAATCACAATTGAAACGATGGAGCAACTTTGAAGCGGTAACAAAATCACCTGCATCAAGCATGTCAAGACATAGAACCAAGACATTATCTGTTGGTGCAATTATATAAGATCAAGAATACTCAAATTCAGTATTTACCGAGCTCGTCAAAACTTTACCTTTTCTGCAGAGACACAGGATGAATGCACTGAGGACACTACTGGCAAGAGTTGGATCCTGTTCAATACACTTATCGAAAATATTAAAGGCAACTTCAAAGTTTGCTTCTTGACAAAGCCCTTCTATGAGAGATTTGTAGATTGAGGAATCTGGTTCCAACCCGTTCTCCAACATGTGGTAAAACAGCCTCCTCGCCTCTTCAACTTGCCCTATTTCAGAGAACTTCTTGATCAAGATAGTATATGTTCTAAAATCTCCAGAATACCCACTTGAAAACATCTCATCCCACAGCCTTTTTGCTGGACGTATAAGATCTTCCCGACAACATGCTTCCAGAACAGAATTATAGCCAACCACATCTGGGCCCAACCCTTTCTTCTTCATCACCTGAAGGATTCCATAAGCTTCTCTTACTTTTCCAGCCCTGCATAAAAATGAGACCATCACAGTGTAACTCTCCGCATCAGCAAAATAACCACCAGAATCCAAGACTTGATACACCTGCATCAGTACATCAGTTTGGTTGTGCTTGCATAAGTTCCTACACAAATTGCTCAATGTCAAAAGGGTCGGGAACTTTCCCTTCTTAATCATGAACCTAAAGAAGGCGATAGCTGATTGGGGATCATCAGCTGAGATTGTTCCGATCAATGCATTGAGGATATCATCCTCCAGGGGAAAGTCCCCACTAACGATGACTTCACCCAACTCTGAGGCTTCCTTCATTAGTCTTTCAGAAATCAGAGTAAATAAAAACTCTTTATAGTCATTCGCCCTCGGAGCTACTCCTAACTTCCGCTTCAACTTCAAAACTCTCTCTTTCTGCACCACATCACCCATTTCTCGAAAAGCTTCCGCAACAATTCTATACGCCATAAAATCAGGTTTGCAGCTTCTACTTCTCAGCTCGTCCAGCACCCAAAGAGCCTCTGATACCCTTGAAGCTTGACAAAGACCATGAACTACCAAAACGGCAATAACTGACCCGTTAATCCCTGCATTACGCCTCCTAACTTCATCTAACGCGCTCAGAACCTCGGAAATTTCCCCATTACCACAAAACTTCCACAAGAACACGCCCAATCCCAGAGTGCTCAAACGAACACCCCACTGCATCATTTCATCGAACACCTTCCTTGCATTATCGATATACCCATCAGACGCGAGGGCAGCCAGAAGCAAGTTACACACGTCGGGCCCAACGTCCCCAACTAACGAACCAATCTCGCTGAAAACCAAAAACCCGTCGTGGGTCCTCTTGTTCCTGACGAAACAGGCGATGACGTGCCCGTATGCCGAGGCGTCGAGGCTGATCCCGCGGGCCCTGACCCGCTTCAACAGGGCCTCGACGGCGTTGGACTGTCGGGAAGCGGAGAGGGACTTGAGGACGGAGCGGTACGTGAGGGGGTCGTGAGCGAAGCCGGGCTGCTGGGAGGCCCAGTCGAAGAAGCCGAGGGCGAGCGAGAGGTGGGGGATCAGGAAAGGGTCGATCACGCGGGCGACGAGCTGAGGGGTGAGCAGGTCGCGGCAGCCGAGACGGTGGAGAGCTTGCTCCGTCCATGTGCGCGCCGAGACGGTGCGGGTGGAGGCTGAAATGAGAGCTCTGCTTATTCTTCGCCGCGCTCGATTTCCTCCTCCTCATCTTGGGCACGCCCTGTTTCTCCACGGAGCACCCTCCTTTCGGATTCTCCTCGCTCTCTCTCCTCGCTCTCCTTCCCTTTCGGGGGGGCGTCGTCGTCCCCGTCGTCATCTTCGGCCGAGGCCTCCTCGTCGGAAGCCTCGGCCTCCTCCTCCTCCGGAGCGGCGATCTCTCGGTCCTCTTGATCTGCCTCCTCCACCTCTGATTTCTCGGGGAGCTCCTCCTCCTTGCCCTCGACGGGGGGAGGAGCCGCCGCCCCTTCGGGCTCCGCGGCCTCTAGGGCTCCGGAGGCCATGGGCGAGGAGGAGTCGCGGGAGGAAGCGCGAGCGCGAGAAGGAGAAGGAGAAGAGGGAGAGAGAGGGAGAACAGTGAGCGAGAGAGAGAGAAATTGGGGGTAAGGGCGGGGCTTTGGGGCGCACTTTTTTTAATTAAATTTGCGACCAACTTCATATTTCGTCGCAAATTTTAGCGACGAACCTTTTCAGTTCGTCGCTAATTTGCGACGAACCTTATGTTCGTCGCAAATTTTTGCGACGGAAACAAAATCCGTCGCAAAAATTTGCGACGGATTTTGTATCCGTCGCAACGGATTTCTTTTCCGTCGCAAATTTTTGCGACGGATTTTGTTTCCGTCGCAAAATTTTGCGACGGATTTTTTTTTCCGTCGCAAAATTGCGAAGGATTTTGTTTCCGTCGCAAAAATTTTGTTTTGCGACGGATTTTTTTTTTCGTCCCAAATTTTTGCGACGGACTTATTTTTCCGTCGCAAATTTGCGACGGACTTATTTTTCCGTCATAAATTTGCGACTGATTTTGGGACAGATTCCAAAAATAAAGAGCATTTTCTAAATCTTGCGACGGATTTATTTTCCGTCGCTAATTTGCGACGGAAGTGATCTTCGCGGCACATGGCGCCCATTTTTTCAAATCCGTCGCTAATTTGCAACGGAATTACCGACGGAAATGTTTATACCGACCAATTTTTCGAATCCGTCGCTAATTCCATCGGAACTTTGAGTAGATATGCTTCTTACAATGACACATTACTCATATTTGACGAATTAGTAAATGTCATGATCTAATTCATCTAAGGGCGGCAAGTTTGGTGATTTTTTTTTTTCATTAGAGCAGCGGAGGAATGTCAAACAACCACGGGAGGTTGTTGCGAAATGGGCCGATGTGACTAGCATTACGAGCACTGTGGAGAAACATGACTGATGTGGATGTCGTTGTTACAAACAGACTCGATTGACGCTTTCTCAAATAACAATAGGGCTCTGATACCAAGTCAAGAATGTGATAAAAAAAATTAAGAGCAATATATATATATATATCATTGTCAAATGAAGAGTACACGAACCTATTTATCGGTTTTATAGGATGACTATCTAAAAGGGAAAATATCAATTACAATCAATTAAACGAAATATAGGGAATCTTCTAAATATTTCTCTAATGGAATGCATGTCCTCTATTCACTCATCATTCGGATGTAACCCTTTAGAAATAATTCATCTAATTGGTTAGATCAAACTGGTTAGGTCTAAATAAGAATATCTCTTTTATATGATCTCCTATAGATATCCCCATATAGATATATTGACTTTACATTTCATATATCCACTCGATTCAGATCTATTTGAAAATTGCTATAATTTATTTACCCATATATTTAGGCATACATAAGAGCTACGTGCGGAGGAAACCGCCATATTCAACTAAATAGATATCTGCGTTATCTATATCTAAGTCTTGAAAAAAAGAAGAAGATAAGATTTGCACCTATCGAATCTAAAAAAGCTTATTTGGGACGAGAACATTTTAAGAGATTATCTAATATCTTGAGTTTATAATAGATGTTCTTATCTAATTTGAATTTGTAATATCTAATCTCTCTTAGAATTGGACGTGTAGCAAATCGTCCAATCTCTTTTGAATTTGAACTTGTGACAATCATCCAATTCGTCTCTACTTTCATCGCAAAATGGTAAATTTTGTTGCACAAATTAGCGACGGAAAATAAATCCGTCACAAAATTTGTCGCAAATTTGCGACGGAAAATTAGTCGTCACTAATTTGCGACGGAATTAGCGACGAAAATTTTCCGTCGCAAATTTGCGACGAATTTTGCGACGGATTTATTTTCCGTCGCAAATTTGCGACGCATTTTGTGACGGATTTATTTTCCGTCGCTAATTTGCGACGGAATTTTTCCGTCACTAATTTGTGACGAATTTTGCGACGGATTTATTTTCCGTTGCAAATTTGCGACGGAATTTGCGACGGATTTATTTTCCGTCGCTAATTTGTGAGTGAAAATTGATCCGTCGCAAAATCCGTCGCAAATTTGCGACGAAAATTACGTCGCAAATTTGCGACGGAATTAGAAATCCGTCGCAAAGTTTGTCGCAAATTAGCGACGAAAAATTTTCGTCGCAAATTTCCGTCGCAAAATTCATATTTTTTTGTAGTGTCTGTCATGTAACGTGACATAACTTGGTAGGTGAGAACATGACTTTCACCAGTTCTCAGAGTATGACTTCGTAGAAATGAGCGACATTGCGACTGCGAACGACATCTTTGTCCTAAACAATTGGAACCTTTGAATTAGTACCTGCAGCTCGGCTCAATCAAAACTTAGCTGCGATCTACATACTTATCACATTCTAAAACCTCCAAATCCCTAGTATTCCCAATCATCAATTGAAAAAGTATTTTCTATACGACTTAGCTTTGCATTTCTTAGGTGCAATCTTTGCTCAATCTTTCATTCATTTCACTTCACTCACGTTTACATTAAACCCCTTTTAAGATGACCCGTGATAAAAATGGGTATTGACACTCTTATTCTAGGTTATTCAATTCCAGAGATATGCGTCACTGCAACGGCTATGGAATTAGAGTTCTGCTTTTTTCACAACGATGGAAGATTGCTGTTGAAGCTTCAAGTAATAAAGAAGTTGTGCACATTTTTCTCCGATGTTTCTATCTTTCTTTCCTGGTGGTTATAAAAAACATAGAAAGAAAGTTGACGTATATGTTTAATCTAGAATGAGGAACGGTCCAACGTTATTTGCTTTCACATGTCGCGCTCAAGACTCTCCCACTTTTTCTCTTTCTATTTGTTCGGTAATCAAAAATAAATATTACTTTTGCTCTTGTCTGAAGAAAAAAGAGGTATATGTATAATGCAGAATGATGACTGACAAAACGTTATGAGATAAAAATTTCAGTTTATATTGACTAAGAAGTCATGTCACCTACTGCATTATTGTCAATTGTGAACTTATAATTGACATCTCTTATCTTTAAGAGAATATTCGGGAAAAGTACATAAAAAGCTCTAAACCTATTGCATTAGTACCAATTTAGTCTTAAACATTTCAACTGGATCAATTTATTCCTAAACTTTTTCTTATTAGTACAAATTCCGTCCATCCGGCCAATTTGGGTTAGAAATTGTTGACGTGATTGCCAACCATCCTACGTGACACAGGCGGCCAGTGCTGACGCGGATATTTTTTTCATATTAATTTTTTTGAATTTTGAATTTTTTCTTTATTTTTTTTCCTTTTTTTTTGCCGTTGGCCAGCCGGCGAGGCCAACCCTCACCCAGGACAAGGCGGCCTCACCAGGCCTTGCCATGGCCTGGGTGAGGGTCGACCTCCTTGATGCGAGGTTAACCCTCGCCCTCACCCTCGCCTAGGCAGGGGTCGCTAGGTGAGGGTCGGCCTTGCTAGATTTGGCGAGGGGGACCTCGCCAACGCTTGCCCTTGTCCAGGCGAGGCCAACCCTCGTCGGCCATGGCTTGTGACCGGTGGCCGGGCCGACGACCGGCCACTAGCGAAAAGAAGGGAATGCGAAAAAAAAATTATTAAGAATATATAAGAATGTCAACATCAGTGTTTTGCTACCTAAATTAGTTAGATGTACTGAATTAGTATCGATGTGAAAATTTTTTAGATTAAATTGGTTCGATTAAAAGATTTATGATTGAATTAGTATCAATGCAATATGTTTAGGATTTTTTAGCATGTTTTCTGAGAATATTCCATATGACATACATATTTTACGTAGAATGAGGACTGGTTCGACTTTATTCACTTTCACATTGCGCGCTCAAGACTCTCCCAGTTCTTCTCTTTCTTTTTGTTTGGTCATAAAAAAAATATTTCTTTTGCTCTTCTCCAATAAAATAAGATGTATATGTTTAATATAAAATCATGACTAGCCTGACGTTGTGAGCCAAAAATTTCACTTTATGTTGACTAAGAAATCATGTCACACTATTGTCAATTGCGTGAGTGTTACATTATTTCACCAGTTTGAGTCCGTTAGGGAACCTAACCCGATTGGAGGACGTAGACCAGTCCGTGAATTGTAGGGATAATAAGGTGTTCAAGTCAAATCCGGAATAATTTAAATTGACGGTGAAAAGTGGTCTTGAAATAAGTTACTGTATATGTTTAGGGCGGAGCTATTTCCACTCCCATTTTGGCTAAGACACTCCTTTTTTCAGTTAAATGACTGGAATACCCTCTCTCTCTTCAATTTATTGTTTCTTTTTTTATCAAGCTAATAAAAAAAAACTGCCTTAATTAATTTCTATCATCTCTCTTTTGAGTTTCACAATACAAATGCTCCATTATGCTTGACAGAATATCATCTTATCATGCATTATTTCACTTTACTAGGAGAAAGTTATTAAATTTAATTTTTCGTGTCATATTTTTAATCACAAAAGTTACATATATATGACGGCTTATAAGCACACAATTATTTGCCTATTTTTAATAAATAGTTTAAGACTATATTTCAAAGTTGAAGCTTACAATTCAATCTAATTATCTAGCCAATTTTGATCAACAACGGAAAAGAAAAATTGATCAAAATATGGAAAAATAATCAAATATTAAATATGTTTATGTTTAGTTCATATCTAAATATTAAAAAAAAAAGCACAAAAAGGAAAAAAAGGGAACTTCTTGTTGCTCTACTCCTACCATGAAGAAAGTAAGTAATATCGATTATAAATTCAATCTAATAGCAAGCGGATCAAAACTTTAAAATAGGTTTCTTTTTAAAACTTTCATTTATAATAAGCTGATGTTAGCTTAAAAGTAAAGAATGTGTAATAAGATTCTCAACCCCATCTTGAAATACAAATTAAAATGTTTAACTTTAAAACTCCACAAATTTATTACAGAAAACACCTACAAGGTCAAGATTGGCTAGATATATAAATTGAATTTTAATTTCCAACTTTGAAATAAAATGTTGCTCAAATTATTTGAT